CAGGTATTAGTTTTTTTTCAGTGAATATAAATACTTTATAACTCAAATACTTTTGAATTGAAAGGTAAGTACAAGGAAACCTGCATTTTGCGGAGTTTGATTCTCCGTGAACCCAGATAACTTGGCTTTGCATTCTAATGAAAAGAATTAAATGAATAAATTGAGAAACGTTATGCCAGCGACAGGTTCTAGGTACCGTTAACCTAACGTAAACACTTGTACGTAAACCGGCATGTAAAGAAATACGATTTATTATTTTAAATATCAGAATTAAAAAGTAGTTGTGAAATGTAACTTATAAGTACAATATTATAATGTACATATTTGATAATTTTGATCAATTTAGTTTATTTTACAGACTTTACATAGTTTATTCTACATAAAAAATAGATTTCCATTTTATTTAGATTTATTTTCTAATTTGTGTCCTCAATTTCTGTAATCATTTCAAATTTCATTCTCATATCGATCGATTAAATTAAATAAATTATCTCGAGGTTGCAGATTAGACTCACATCACTGGCAATTTTTTCACTTCATTCATTTAATAATTTTATTATGTATCTCCACCTATAGCGCGGGCGAGCAATTCACTTAAGAACATCGCTTAAGGGAAACGGTGTCGTCACTTTTCAGACATCAGTATGCGCTTGTTAAAGAGTCATGTAATGAGTTTCAAAGGCTAATGTTTCTTTGAAAGATTCATAAGTTTCGGTCACAGGAGGAAGGTATGGTTAAGAAAGTATTGCGACAGTGTTTTAACATTTGTTTACATTCTGATGGCTGTTGAGAAAAATATATTTAAAAAAATAATTTTAGCCTCTGTGCACCCATCGTTTGGGAGGTAGGGCTTTTAATATTGGAAGAACTCATGTAAGAGTACATTAATATTAATATATTATATTCATATAAATCCACAGAAAGTTTCTTGTAAGTTAATGTTAACGAATATTTTGTATTTTTAAATGGGGATGTGTGTAGTAAATATAATTCATGTATTTTTCCTCTGCAGCCGCGTGGTTTATTTGTAAAATAGAAGCATGTTCTAGCATTGAGTTATTTTAAGTTGACCCCAGGGCAAAATCCTTCTCGGCCTACAACATTTGTGGGTTTGAAGGAGATTATGGCTTAGAAAAGTGTATATATTTGGAAACCGTCATTGTGACGCATTGAACAGATCATTTTAGGGCCAGAAACTTTTGTTTGTAAGTAATAATAATGTAAGAAAATGAAACGTTTATAAATCTTACGCTCTTAAGAACATTCTTTCTTTACACTTTATGAAATTATTGAGACTATGAGTGTGAGTATGAGTGATTGAGTATTTTATTACAGATTTTGGGTAATACAAGATTTTGATACATAAAAGAGAATGCCGATTGACATGTCAATGCAGATACAAAGCTATAAGTTTGTAACTTTAATAGCTTTGGATAACTTTCGTAAGCAGATACTTGAAATTTAGTTTCCATTTGTTATGTATGTAACTACTAGGACAGGATATCTAATATTCGTGCCCCGAAAACTTGAATTAGGCATTTTATGAAACTTAGCGGAGTATACCTTCTTCACTTTTCTTATGTTGGTAAATATTGCGTTAGATTTGTGTTTGTAGTTGCAACATAGTACAACTGTATACTTTAATTCAGCGCTGTACAACCGAAATAGTATACTGCACTGGCATCAATTTCATTGTGGCACATTTTAAGTATGTTTACGAAGAGAAGCAAAATTTTGTAGGCATGAAACGTTTTTGACACAACAGACATTTTACAGGTATCCAATCTACTAACATAAACCACTCAGAGATTATGTAGAAAAACACTTTAATATCTTGTTCTGTTTGGTAATTTTCAAACCATTTTCGAACTTCTTTTATTCTTCGGATTGACTGCAGTGAGACATTACATTTCCGAGATATTTCATTTATAATATATTTTACTTTTGTTAAACGATGGCTTATTACAGCTTTTTGTTCATCTGTGAGGTCTCTGAGCTTTCCCATGTCAATATTCAGAAATGTTACTGAAAATTCTGATCCGAGTTAACTGCGAAAATTTACACTCGAAAGAAATTACAGGAATGAACTAAATCACGAATCATTTCACCAAAACCAACTTCACAGGCCGCACTGACACGGTGTCACTCAGCTAAATAATACTTAACAATGAACAGAACTTTTTCAAGAAATACATATCTAGGCTTCTTAGTTGGCTAGGCTTCTTAGGCTGTTGCACTATTGGCGGTCTTAGGTTTGTTAAAAATCAGGATTACGTGTCATTGGCAGGCAGCAAGAAAGCGTCGCATTTTAATTGTTAAATAACAATGAACTTGAGAAGAAGTTGAGAACTAAAGCATAATGAATATTTTACATCTTTTCTCTAAGATGGCCTAATAATGTGACCAGGGACCAACGCCACGTGAATTACATGTAACACACACGAATTCAGAAACATAGAACTCATATTTCATTAATTAACCCTATATTTAGACTAATTCAAAATTAGAATTGAGAAAAACCATGCGTAGCCTGTTACTTTCTCTCTACGGAGTAGAGAGAAAGTTATATAATGCTGAGCGAAAAAACAGCGAATTTCAAAACACTTCTAACAGGGCCTTGGCAACATAAAAGTGGGTAAATCCAGTTGCTAAAATAAAAAATTCCGCTATTACGTGGTGCAACCAGAATCAATGTTTTGTGGGTCCTTCATACCGAAAAATCGAATGACGGCTACACGCCTTCATGTCTGTCCGTCCGTCCGTCCGTCTGTGAGCAAGGCTAAACTGTTCAGACGATTTTCTCCAAAATTGCTATTCTCCAATCGATCTGGCTGATGTCGCGGCCCCATGAATTTGAAACATATATTTCGAATTCTGGAGGTTCTTTACACGAAGTCCGTGGACATTTTTTAAAATTAAAAAAAAAGCTCCATATTTTTTTATTGGGTGTTGTGTTGGTGGATACTGTGAAGGATGTTTAAGAGAATAGCGCTGGTCTCATGTTCGTTAAAAATCCCGATTTTTCGAAAATTGCAAACATTTGACAGCTTTTCGGAGTCTTCTCATAACTAAAAAATTAAAGATATAGATTTTTTTCTTGAAGAAATCTGTTCCTTATAGATATAATTTGAATGAAAATATTTTTGAATTCGCGTAATTTTGCGTGAAATTCGGGGGAGAAAGTACGTGCTATTCTATCACCTCTAGTTTTCTAGAGCAGCAGCGGTCACAACGCCGTGGTACGTCGTTGCCCCCTTTCATTAGTATGCACCTGTTAAAAACAAATTAATTCGGAAATAAGTGTCGACCTGGATGGCCGACGTAACTTGTGTACCGCATCAACGCTTCGGATTTGAGTTCCGCCTTGGGCATGGTTGTTTTTCCCTTGGTCCCCGTATGTTAGTCGGGGAGGGGCTCATGTTCTGCAGACCCCAGATCAGAGGGGCCCGCAAAGAGTGTTGGTGTCTCTCGTGGGTGGTCAAAGATGTGTCTCTCCGGGACGTTAAGGGTAACCGGCTGTCAGCTGGATGAAATCCCTAGTCAAGAATATCGAAGATAAATCATGTTCAACTCAGAATCGAAGTGAAATTGACCCCAAATCGCTCTCCTCTGCTTGATGCAACGTCCTTGAAGTTTTATCTTCTTTTTTTATTATTATCTCCTGTTCGGCATTGCTGCCTTTCAGGGGTGTTAACATTTTACAAAATAATGCTTTGACATTCGTTCTCACGCTAATTGTCCTGAATATTACGGGCTGTGTTCAATGTATAATTTTGAAAATTGATTTGATATGAATTTATATTTTATAATTCATTGAATAAAATATTTGTTATTATTTTATTTTAATAGCTGTTGGGAATTAATGACGTTGAGTATTTATGGAGGTCTGAGTTTATTCTCGGGAAATCGTGAGCATATTCTATTTGGTTTTGGGTAGTTTTTGCCGAGTTTGAAGTTGTCCCTTGAAGTTTATGAGTTATGTACTTCATGTTGCAGCAACCCCTGCAACCATGTTGTTTTTAGCTGAAGCATCGAGAAGAAAAAGAAAGTGGAGATATAGAAGAAAAAGAAGAAAAAGAAAAAAAAGAAGTAAAAAAAGAAGACAGATAAGATATTATAATAAGGGTGAAAAAGGAGATGGAGGAGCACGAGGAAGGGGACGAGAAAGAAGTAGAAGGAGGAGGAGGAGGAGGACAGAGAGAACTTTTGAGTTATTCCAAAACTGCGTGCTCTTCAGATACATAAACATAATAGAAAGACAGTTTTTCCTCTTTTGTGTCATTAATCATGAATTTTGTTCATTTTTAATTCTCGCTTAATACAAGAAGTCTCAGTTCAGCGGGGCTCCGACATTGACTAACATAATGTTTTGATTCTGGTCTAGAAACAACAGGAATGAATTGTAAATTCTGCAATATATTTCGTTTATTTGGGATTATCTATACTCCGCGGACCCCTTTTCTATCATTACTCCGAACAGTGAAGGTCTAATATATAGCCTTTTTTCATTATAAACATTTTCAGGTTTACAAAATTTAGCTCACATTCTTCATTTGCAATGTTGATTTAATATCAACGTAATACTAATAACTTAATTCTAAAACTCAAATTTTTGGGGTAGGAATTTTTAATGAGGAGTCCTCAAGGGTGTTACATTTCGGAAACTTTGTAAGGAAGGTATAGAAAATAATCTTTCTTTAATACGGGTATCATGGGATTTCTGCCTAACCGGAGGGGTCGTATTCTGCTGATTTGAAGAAAGCTATGGTATCGCCTGCAACAGGCATGAATCGCATGCTTTCAGCGACGTATCGCCTACAACAAAAGAATTGAATCTGTGATTCAAAAGATAAGGCTTATCGCTCATCCATCGGAGTCGCGCATGTTCGGTTTCGCGTAGTTGTACCGTCCGCCGACAGGGGCGCCGAAGTCCGATTGGGTGAGGGAGAAGGGGGTGGGGGGCACCCACCGCTCCTGCCCTCGCCACACGTTCGCCGCTCCATCCTTTCGCTCAGTCGCTCAGTAGGCGCTTGGGTGCTCACTCTTCGCCTCCAGGAGCTGCAGAGCTGGTAAGTACTCACTCGGCTCTGGTTACCGGACGTGTTGGCGCGGGAAGAATTTCATGTTTTCTGAGGATCGTGATGAATTCAATCGTCTAGTCTCAGGCGGTCATCCAGGACTTCTGCTATTTTCATGTTACAATTGCAGTTTCATTTTGTGAATATATTATACCAATATTATTATTATTTGTTACCCTGAAAACAGACGGAGATCTCCTTTGTGACGTTAAATCAGTAAACATATTGTATAATTCGAAAGCGTGGGATTGGTAGTAAAACCACTAAGTACCGTGATCAATCATTTCAATAGCGGAAGGTTCCGATACAAATTCATGAAATGCTTTAGATTTATAACCAGGTGCAGTATATTAATGTAATAGTAAGATTCAGGTAGATCATAAAGTAATGTTCCTTCATTGCTGAAATTAGAGCCAGGATTATGTCGAAGTGAACGGAAAAATCAATTTGTAACATACTGAAAACTTCTTGTATAAATAACATAATATGTTGTTTTTTGTGTACCGAAATAATTATGATAGTGATTCTCCTGGTTTTTAAATTAGACATCAAGATTATTTCATAAACGTTATTTTTATTAATTTCTCTCATTTCGGTACAGAGGTCAATCTAACATTAATATAAAATGGTATTATATAGTTTTAGGAATAACGGTTTAATTAATTAACTACAACTTTCGATTTATGGTCGAGGCTCATCATAAATTGAAGGCTGGGAACAGTTAGGCAACAAAAGCTTCAGTACCCCTCACGCTTTTCGTAAATATTAATATCTCAATTTTAGTGAAAGTGTATCTCAATTTATTACCCTTGCATTTCATAGATGTGAAGAAGATCTAGTATACTTATGTCACTATACCAAAAGCGGAATACTAACTTTTGCAAATTGAAAGGGGCTTCTTGAATCTAATGTGGCTTATCTCTTTACTGCTCTAAGCCCTTCATTTATTTTTGGAGGGGGGTCATGTCCCCTCCTGGATCCGTCAGTGTAGATATGTATGTACTTTGGCACACCTCTTACGAACAAAGGCCTACTAGCAGCGTTTCACCCTGAAGGTAATGGAAGTCCTTCATGTATGTTTTTAATATATTGTCCATGTGATCTGAACGTTTTGAAAATACATTCCTGAAAGTAATATTTTTTGAAATAGCTAAGATAATAGTAAAATGCGAAAATTATAGAACTCCCACCACCAAATGCTCTGTAGTAATTTGCTTCTGGTAGCTTCCCAAACTGTAAAATGAGCTCAGCGAAAACTTCTGAGTTGGATCTTTGCTTACCGAAAGACAATTGTTTTTTTAATAGCAAATATTGCTCTCTCTGTTGTTGTTATCTTCATTGTTTGAATATACATTTAATTAGATATTAATGTTATACAGTAGAACTCCAATTATCAGAACCCCAATTTGCTTTGAGCTTTGAGAAAAAAGAAATTTGTATTACTAAAATTATTGTACTACAATGAGTTGTTTTTGTTCGACAGTTATTACAGTACTCTGCACGTTGAATTGTGTTTCGAAAATCAATCCGCAGTGAATGTATTAAAAGACAAACTCGTCTTGCGAGCAATGTATACAGTTCGCACCACACGCGCATTGTTGGTTTGTCAAGGCCAGTCCGTGGGGTCTATATCCGTCTTGTGTTGTGATCTCAACATAGGCTGATTTGTCGCTATACATTTCCTACCTTTTTTTGTTTTTGGTGGGTGTGTTTTAGTTTCCACAAGCTGTAGTACACGTTGGTGTTTTACGTTACATAGTATAATTTAGCCTTATAAAAATTTACCTTTTTACGTCATTTTTCGTATTATTGGATATTTGATTATCTAAGTTATGTCAGGTGTCAGTAAATTCCGACAATTGGAGTCCTACTGCGTTTTGTTTTGTGGCAACATTAACGATGCGTTACAGAATTATCTTAATTATTTACCGTTGTTTTTTATAATAATAATAATAATAATAATAATAATAATAATAATAATAATAATAATAATCTGTAATGCTTCAATGAACAAAGTGTTAATTGTCGCATAATAATGAAGAATGGGATAACGACGAACCACTACGCAATTTTTATCTGTTTGCGTAAGGAGGATCAATCTTTTAGGACTTTTTAATTTTTCGATTTTTTTCGAATCGTTAGTGGGTTTAAATTTTCAACGTTTATTGCTAGTATCACATATGGCACTTACACGTCGCTTCCTCGAGTGCCTTAGAGTGACTCAGCAAGTACACATCGGATGCCCATAGCAATTACGAAAGGAAGTAAGCAATTTATCTTTAACTGGTATTTGATTTATTTTAGTCAAAGAACAGTAAAAACTGTATGTGAAGTATGGGGCGTTTACTTAGGCGCCAGAATCTCTAGAAGAATTTCTAGAGATTCTCTATTAATTATTTTTAGTACCATTGTAACACATTTTATATTGTGAAGTACAATGCTGTAATTTATTTTTTCACTTTTGCTACCTTAAAAGGTGTCAAAGAAGTTACAAACGCATCAAATAAATTTTACAAATTTCATGTGTTATTGGAAAGGAAAGGAATACGTTTTGCCTTCAAATTATTTTCCAACATACGGATGTATACATATTTGTTTGTAATGTAATTTATAAAACAATATAATCTTTTGCCGATCCGGTGGCTGAGATCGCTGAGGCAGTTGCGCCGTAGCGATCTCGGACCGCAGCATCGCGGACTCGCGTCTCACCTCGGGCATGGGTGTATTGTGTTGGTCCTTTCACCCCATATCGTCATCATATCGTATCATCCTCATAGTTACTATACCGTTACACGCAATAGTGGCCGCTAATGACCTAGAAGTGGATGCGACCTTAAATAACAATAAATATAATATTTTCTCTTATTTTATTTTGGTGTTTTATAATTAAAGAAATAGTGTTTAATGCATTTTTTGTGAAACCTTCAGTTGAAATTCAACTTGTAATTATTTTTAGTGGAAATTATTGAAATGAATAATCTTTGCGTAATTCCTATAAAAAATCAAAAGTTGAAAAAGTTTTTGAAATTCTGTTTTACTAAACTTGAAAATCTGCGTAAATACTTCAGAAAGTGTTTTCAAAATTACATAATGGTTTCAAAAATAGAATTTAAACTACTAATGTTTATCGATGCAGATTTGCGTATTTTTAGAAATGATCCAAAAATCTTAAATATATGTTGTTAATTATTAAATGTACTATACTTTTAATTCAAAATACTTTTCTTTTTTTCGAAATTCTCGGGGAGTAACATTAAAGTGTTTCATACTCGCTGATATATCAATAGTGTAAGATTAATTTTTTCAAGAACAACAATAATTGACATCGTTTTGCATTAACCATCTGAGGTTCACGTTAAAATTTTTTCAAGCCCACATGGAGTGGTTTGTCATACCATAATTTATATTTAAAATTAAGTGATTATCTTATCCTGGTAACAAATAATTAAATTCATATATGCTTAACGCATTACTTTATTTCGTACAAAGAATATTTAAATTTGTTTGATAACATTTTTCAGATAAGCGAAAAATAGCTCGTAATTCTGCAACAATTTATGCTATACATATATATCTGGAATTTTCTGTGCCAAATTGAAGCCGTCGTAATGAGCGTGAAAAATGAACACATCAAATATTGCAAAATTCAACGCGTTAGATGCTGGATCCAAGGGCCAGATTCCCCCAACCCCTCTAACTCTTCGTTAAAGGTCGTTTACTTTCCAATTGTCTAAGTGTAATTAGCTCAAGAGTTTTACCACGTACGTTAAGCGCGATTACTGAAAGTTAACTAAGGCATAGTTACGTCCACGAAAGATCGTTTCAAGGAAAGATTATGAATATTTGTCTTCTCATGTCGTTTTGACAGTTTTATTATTTTTCATGATAAAATGGATAAAAAATACCCAAATATTTTGTTGGACACAACGATCTTTATCGCAACCTGATTTGGGATGAATACGAAAGAAGCCTTGGTAGAGCCGTTTATTTTTGACGAATACGGTGCGATGACGATATATGACGATGAAGATGTTTGAAGTTATTAAACTCACAATTTATACTCAGTTTTGGAAAAGGTCGTGGAGAAGCTTAAATATTAGGGCTAACACTTTTGTCGGCTAGAGTAATTCTTAAAATTAGGAAAGTTTTAAAAAGAATGCGAAAAAATAAGTGATGTAGCACCACTACTTATTTTTTAAACCCATTCATGCTTTGAAAAATTAAATTAAATAAATCCATGGTACAAACAAAACTTTCTCGTCAAAAAATTCGCATTGAAAAAATCGTAAGTAGTTTAAAGCATAAGCTGCCTACACTTAGAATCAAACCAAAGTCTTCTGATTTACGCTCTGTCGCTCTGATTACTAGACCAATACGACATATGGTTCAAGCAGAATCATGTACACGTATAATGTTCATGTGAGACTGGCAAATAATATTAAAAATTTGTTCGCTTTGGAAAAATATGTTTGAGAATTCAAAAAAATAATTTTTGTAGTAGTTGTGAATGTGAATACAATTATCATAAGAAAGTGTATTAGTTTTTTTCGGATATTTGTATACAATTAGTCAATTTTTTGGTCAAATCATATTTTATTGACGACGATTAAGTGGGATCTGCTAACATAATATTTTGAAATGTCATTTTGGTTTCCGACAACGGAAATCAAAAAAGGGTCAAAATGGAACGAAAGATATCCTTTAGCAATGCTGGCAGGAATGAGGAAGGCAAGAAAATGAACTTAAGAACATTTGGGAGCCTGAGAAACAACCTAGGCCAGGCTCATTACATACTTGAAAAATAGCATTGCAAGTATTTACGTTCATTTTTGTTCAGTAAATTAGTTTGAACATAAAAAAATGCAAAAAAATATATCTATTACATTGAATGAAAAAATGTCCATTTTCCGTTATCGGAAAATGGAAAAAGGGCAAAACATAAAACAATGAACTAGGGTTTCTAGAACAGCAGATATTTTCTCGTATTATTT